AACATTTAAGTATTGAATGCTTCTTTTAGTAGTTTTATTTGGGGTGTAAAATCGTTAACTGAAGTATATGGAGGCGATTCATACTAAAAATGTTCGCACGTTCAACGCGTTAGCAACCCTATTAAATTACAACAAGGGGCATTCAATTCCAAAATTACATTTTTATGCTATACCCATGAAATTACGAGTTAAAGGGGCATACGCTGTAAATCTCCAATTTGACCCGAATTCTCATATTTTATAAATTACATGATAAAACGTATATCCAAATTACAAAACTTCCAAATGCAACAATCAACAATGGATGGGCTCGCTGTATAGTACCATCATTTCGTCCGTATTTTAGACCAGACGCCATCCGAGATGATCTTCGAAAACTGCCGACGATCATATACCCAGATATAATCATAATTTATAAATAGATATCGATTACTTGCAATCGGAAGTTTCTAGGTCTGTTTGATTTTAAGTTATACGTTAAAAATAGATGTAAATAATACTTTTACCTGTATAAGAATGATGTAGCAGAACGTCCAATGTTTCCAACTATGTACTGTGGATTCATTATTATGTGTGGGATACTAATTTTTGTTGATGAGGTGATTACAGGTAAACAACGAATATAAATGTTGAATGAAGTACAAATTTTCTTAAGGTTTGATTCCAGACCACAAAAATACATGTTTTCTCTAATCCACGAACATTGGTACCCACGAAAATAAATGAACCCACAGTAATTGATTATCTTTCTATTCTGAAACCCCCATCCAGAGTCTCATCTAAATTGATCTAGTTTCTAACTTCAGTCTGTACTTCCATGATCAAATAATATTAAACACTTAATATCATCTTGATCTGCAAATAACAGATAACCGTTTGGTAGTATCAGACATCCTGTTATAAATAAGCCACTTTTTGCTCTCGGAATACCAATTTTTCGCATTAATTTCTCAGTTTGTTTGTTTTTTAAGGTGGATCATCGGTATATATTTCCTCAGATAGATTTTTTTTATACTTTGTCAAAATGAAGGTTTAACTATGCTCTTTTCAAAAATGTAATAACAGGTTTTGGTCACCGTGCTATTTGTCAAGCTACAAGTCGTGCCAAATTGCCCAAATTTGCATAGATTGATAAAAAAAAAACACATTTTTGTGAATGAAAGAATCTATGAGATAGAATTTTGAAATAAAATATGAGAAGATAGGTTTTATAATATGCATAAAGAAAATAAAAATAAAAAATTGTGTCACCGAACTTGTTTTCTTGCTACAAGTAAACAATGAAAATTTCACTATCAATCCAGTATAAAAAATTTACTGTAAGAGTTATCTCCCCTTAAATGGCTAAATTGAATTGATTCTAAAAAACACAAATATTTGGTATTTGTTTAAACATTTTGGATAATGCAATTAATCATTTATTTTTCTTTATACAAGTAAACAGTCTCACACATAAATTGCAAATCTGTCTCTAACTTTGCAGATTTAGGCAAAGAACTAGACCGACTGTGGACTGCTATTGTACAATCCAAGATGGCGGTATACAGTGAATCTACCTTAAATATATTTCTATTTTGTCTAAATGATCATTGAAAGATGTTCGCAGCTGTTGTCTACACATTCCTTCCAGTTGAATTTGTTCTGAGAAAAATAGTCCAAAGATTCTTCAAAATCCAATTAATTCCTGCAAATCATTTCTCATTTAAAGCATAAAAGCACAGGATTGTATGTCATTGTTTAAGATATCTCTGAGTTCCTTGAAATCACGACGTTCCTAGTGTTGTTTAGAAGCACCCATTCTACAACACGGTCAGTAGTGAAAAGTGTAGAACAAGTTTTTGTCGTGTTGTTTGCATCAATTACATGTTTCAACGACAAAGACCGAAAGTTTATTCAAGTCCGTGACCGCAATAACTGTTTGGTGGTTTGGTAGATCGGATGTTATTGATGCAGGGCATAAACTGAACAAAGGAATAGTCCACGTTCAGTGTAGACAACTTGCCAGCTTCGTTTATGATATGATCTTCTTGGCAATAAGAACAAAGTGTTAAGGAAGTCATACTTATGTTCTGCAAAATGAAAATGTGAAAATCAATCTGTACTTATTTTCTCAACATGAATTGTGTATTTTTCTTAATTTTCAAGTTTAGCAAAAGTTATATTGGATGTTCAAGAAACAACACAACAAACAGACACTGTGATATTTCTTGTTATATTTCAATTTTCAAAAATTGGATGAAAGTTCATCAAGAAATTAAGAACTAAATTCAACAGAAATAAAATGACAGAGTTATTTATTTACATTGATGCAAACTTATGGAGAATGAACTGCTTCCTTGCCGAAGAACTGGAGTAAGTCTTCAGTTTATGGGACGGCTGAGGGTCTGGATGGGATTTACAGAAAAGCGAATATGGGCAAAATGTGCAGAATAAAGGGGCAAACAAAATAAAGAATAGAGAATACTGGGGTGCTAAAGAATTGACTATAATTGGGAAAAAAAATAATGAATAGAGAAAACTGAGATAGTGACAAAGAGGAGAGAGATGTTTAGAGTAGGACTGTTGACGAATGAACAGAATAGCTGGAATGGTGTGAACTGTCGGAGTGTATGCCGTGTGGTTTGTATTTTGTATTTTATGTGAACTTTGTAACGTCTGTATGATACATGCAGTGTGAATAATATTTTTATTTTCTACATGGTGTTTATTTATAAATATGAATGCTCCGAATTCTACGTGTACAACCATAGGTAAGCAACTATGTAATTGGTTGTCTTTATTGATACCGTAATATTTCCTGTATGTTTAAAGAACGGTTGTTGATAGTAGATTTACAGATAAACCGTCTAAATAAAAAAAAAGTGTTAACAAAAATACCAAACTGCCAGGCAAATTCGAAAAAGGGGAAATCAAACAAATTTATTCTAAACTTGTCTAGACTAAAAATTAAGAGATTGCCATACGGTAAAGTGACTTGCTGATTGTATTAGACCTATGTTTATCCGTGATGTCTCTTGGTTTTGTTATGTCGTTGAGTTGCTGTCTCATTGACTTTAGTCCTGTAGATGAGGCAAAAGATACCAAATGGACATTCAAACTCTCAAGTCGAAAATAAACAGACAACGCAATGGAAAAGAAAACGAGAATAAGCAAAAAGACAAACAATCGTTTACAAAAAAACAACATAGAAAACTAAAGACTTAGCAACACGAACCCCGCCAAAACAAGTGGTGATATCAGATGCTCCGGAAGGGTGAACACATCCTACTCCACATGTGACATCCGTCGTATTGTTCATGTTAGTACAGACCCGGTAATATCTTTACAGGGTGCAAGCTGAACAGATAGCTTGATGGTTAAAACACAAGGATTCAGCTTCATTTAACACAAATTGTATACAGTAGAAAATATATGTAAAACAATAGCAATTTTAAAACTTAGTTTGCTGAAAAGATATTGTTTAATTAGAATAAGGAATGAAAATGGATGTGTAACAGGCATCATTTCCATTATATGCTTTGTAATAACAGGATCTTTTTTCAGTTTGCGAAAGGTCTTCTATGATCAGCTTAATATTCATTTAAGTGGAAATAATATTTCGGAAGCATAATATTTTGCGCCACCAAATATGTGTTTAAATTTGCGGTATATATGACGGTATGATCTGAATAACCTTCATAAAGTTGAAAAACTATTTATTTGCCAGAACTTATTTAATGTTACTCTCAGATATATTGGTGTTGTCCTTTTACTCAATTTTTTTTTTCCTTTTACTCAATTAAACATTATGTTCAATTGGTACTTACATCTTATATATCCTTATATAATTAGTAGCAAATAATTTTAAAAATTAAAAAGAGATCACGTTTATGTAGAATATCGATTTTACAGACGACAAAAACGCAAAGTAAAAGTAAAAAAAAATCCTACCGGCATCGTACATGTATGCAAGCATGTATAAAGTTACTGAAAAGGTGACTTTGAACTCTTTAATGTGGTCGGCTGTATTTTGGATTTAATGTAAACAGTGAATAAAGGCACAATCTAGAGCAATGCCGAATGTGTGTAACAGTTGAGAGCTGTGACACTAGCAATCATAGTACCACATCCTCTTTTTTTAGTTTACTAAATCTTTGCAGTTAAGTGTAGAGAAAGTAAACCACTGAAGCATGTTAGAGTTTCAACTTTTAACCTTGAAACTAAATCATTGATAGAAATTAAGAATAAATCTTTCATCGCGCTTGGTGATTACAATGTATTACACAGGTAATGTAACTTTTTTTTTATATTTTTCTTAAAGCTGTACTTGATTCCCCATTTCCATTCTCAATTTTATTTGATATATTGAATATGTACACTTTTCTTCGGTCCTTATCAAGTAACTGTAAACTCGAAAGGCATTGACACTGTTAAGTTTCAACAGTTATGCTTTTTTATATCAATACATTCCCATATTATTTTTTTATTCAGTTTCCGACCAACAGGTATATGTGAATATAATTTATGTTTTGGCAGACGAAATTGTCCCTATTCCTTTCTGTTTTTACGAGATTTTATTTTTCTCAAAATTAAGGTTTCTCATGTCACTGTGTCGTCTGTTATTCATATGTATAAATATGTAATTATCATTATTTGTTTTGTGTGTTTTAAGATATTTTTCAGATAAAGATTTTACCATTCTAATTTTCAAAATCTCTCCTCAATTCTTCTTATTCAGTGTTTTTCTCATTATAAAGAATTCGAACATTATACAGGAAACCAGTCCATAAAAATACATTCATTATGACAGTACTTATTACTGAACGAATTATCGAGGTTGTAATCCAATTATAATATTTTTCTTGTTTTTGGTATATGTTGATTGGGTAATCGTAATCTGTATTCGATTACAGCACAAATATTGATGGAAACGTCGAATACTTTTCGATTAACCCTTGATTTTGTCTTAGTAAAATAGTTTGATGAATAGAACATAATTTAAAGAAAAAAAAAACAGCGGCATGAATTCTTCAGTTTATTTAACAGATTAAAATAGACTGTATATATATATGAATTAAGAGTTCTATCAAATGTCGTTTTCAGATCTGTTGTTGTCTCAAAGCTACCTTATGTTCACCAGATGTTCTGAAAAATGTTACTGTCTTTTCCAGCTGAAACTATTGACGTTCAATGCTTGAAAATACATTAAGACCTTTAAATTAAAAAAAGAAAATGGTCTAAGATATGTTTTTTAGTACATTGAAGTAAACGCTTGATTGTATTAGAATTCCTTAAAGCATAATTATCAATCAATAATATTTGAAATTTAAACTTAGAATAGTTTAACCTTTGATCATCCTAGTGTTATGAAATAAAGTTTAAGAAAGGATACAATGAACCAATGCATTGCAAATCTTGTTCATTTATAGATACAAATATTTTGACACTTAAAATTTATAAGTGTATTGTTTATGAATTTGAATAGAGAATAAAGAATCATGTTTTCTTGTTTTTACTGATACATAAAAAGACTTGAGATCAGTGACATGCAGACTGTTTTGATATTAATTATGTCTGAATAATTGTAAGATTAACATTATATTCCCCAAGACTATACATCGAATTCCATTGACATTTTTATAATCTGTTAATGTAAATCAATCCACATAATCACAAATGTAAAATTTCCATCTCTAAATTAACATGTTAAGCTGCACAAAATCATGCTATATTTTACCAAAAAATAATAGGAAACTTCGAACATTGTTACGAACTATATATGTCACTATTGAGAAGTCCGATGTTGTCGCACTTCTCGTTTATTATGAAAATTCGTTTTTTTAACATGCATAAAGATAAGAAGATGTGATATTTTCAAGCATTACGCAATTGCAATTGTATGCTGTTAATTCCGTTGATATCATGTCTTGAATCATTCCTTTAAAGATTATTGATAGTAAAATTTTTAATCTAAAACCCTGATTTCAGAATAGCATTGTTTGTTTTAGTTGTTTTGTTATTTTTGTTTAAAGCAATATTTCAGTACTAAATATACACATGAATAAAAACAACTACATAATTATGAAATGACATTGTTGCAAGTATAACTTACTACCTAAAATTGATATAGAAACCCAAAGATTGGTCACAAGAAGGGTTGAGGTCTTTTTGTCAAATTGCATTGAAAAAGGACCTTTTAGTCCATCTTTTTCGGTCAGAATCACTCTACTCTTCATACCATCTTTTGACAAGGCCATTATTGTATTGTTTACATGGCATGCAATAAAAATTAATCCTTTTGAATTGCATGCAATTCCTCCTGGATATGGAATATTTGCTACTTGGCTTGTCCACAACAAATCACCTTGAATATTGTAGCATGACACTTTACTTGTATTGAAGTTTGCGAGATATAGTTGATTGTTAGACAGTGTAATATCATAAAACCAACCATCTAAACTGATCTGGTTTTTAACTTCAGTCTGTAAATCCATGATCATGATTTGATCACCAAGGCTTGTCACCAACTTTTTCCCATCACTATCGATGCCGTAACAATCCTCTTTCACTTTGATCAGTTTATCATCTTACTTTTTGTCACATCAATTAACGCAATTCCTTCATCATATAATGTAACGGAGACCGTCTCATTTTTAACATAACAAAGATCACGTGGACAGTAAGGGAAAAATACCATTACATCTCTGACATAAAGCCCATTACTGTCAAATAACATTAAACATTTATTATCTTGATCTACAAATAACAGGTCACCGTTCGGTAGTATCTGACATCCTGTTATAAATAAGCCACTTTTTGCTTTCGGAATACAAATTTTTCGCATTAATTTTGGTGTTAATAGTTCCGATGCGGACAAAGTTGCTTTTGGCACCTGGACTTGTCCGTGGATATATTGCAGAGACTTCAGCTTTAACGGAGGAGGCAAAGGGACGAACGACACCTGATCGAAATTCTTCACTGCGGTAACAACAGATTGTAAAAGTGAAAAAATGTTCACATCTATCATATTTAAATCAATTTTATTTATTTCAACCTCCCATTTTTGAAGTAACTGTTTATCATGAGTTGTCATTTTGTTGATTTCTTGAAGTCCGACATAAATTTGTAGATCAGTAGCATATTTTGACATCACAGAAATATCTTCTTGTAATTGGTCAATATGTGTTTTCTTTGTTTTGACTGTATTCACTAGTAATGAGACTAAGGTGTGTTTATTCCTCAGTTTTTTTCTAAATCTATTTTTATTTTGTCTAAATGATCATTTAGAGATTTTCGCAGCTGTTGAATTTTGTCAACATATTTCTTTTCTACCTGTTGAATTTGAACTAAAGTAAGAGATAAATAGTCCAATGATTCTTCAATATCTATCTTCAATTCCTGCAAATCATGCTTCACATGAAACATAAAAGCGGAAGATTGTAAGTCGTTGCTCAAGATATCTTTCAGGTTTTTTAATTCCCGACATTCCTGGTGTTGTTCAGTAGAACAGACTCTACAGCATGGACAACAATGAGAAGTGCAGAACAATTTGAAGTTGTTGTCGTGTTGTTTACATCGGTTACATGTTTCAACAACAAAATCCGGAAGTTTATTGAAGTCCGTGACCGAAATCACTCTATGGTGTTTTGTTAGTTCGGATGTTTTATGATGCTGTGCACAAACTGAACAAAGGAATAGTTCACATTCTGTACACCACGTGACAGCTTCATTTATTATATTATCTTCTTGGCAATATGAACAAAGTTTTAAGGAAGCCATAAGTATGTTCTGCAAAATAAGAAGGATGTTAAAATCAAACTCTACTTATTTGGGAAAAAATGATTTTCAAATTTAGGAAAATGATATTGGATGTTCAAAAAAGAACATTACAAACAGATACTGTGATATTCCTTAGATGAAAGTCCATCAAGAACTAACTTCAACAGACAATGACAGATTTATGTATCCACTTTGATGCAACCTAATGGAGAATGAACTGCGTACCCTGCTGACTCACACGAGTAAATCTCCTAGTTTATGGAATAGAATTGTTGCTCTACCTTTAGCATTTGTGTTATGAGCTGAGGACTGTTGTTTATTTTTATCATTCTTTTCTTTTCAGTGATGTTGTCTATCATTCATCGAGTTATTGGCCTTGGTTGCCCTCTTGGAGATGCGTTACTTTTAACTGCATTATTGAAAGTGAATAATGGTTAAGTTATGAGGACGTTAACACACAAATAACATGTACAAATATCGGGCCTTCTTACACATCTTTCGAATTTAAATCTTAATTGTTTCATGTGGTGATAATTTCTATCAACATTACATATTTTATCAAATATATTTAGTGAGTATTGTGTTTTTTTTTCTTTCTGCAAAAACTTGAATCATTTGAAACCATGCTTACCTTTATAATAATTCAGATTTGTAACATAATCAATAAAAGTGTAAACATAAAAGGTAATACATCATGATACAGGTAAATCAAAATAAGAAAATAAGAAGACATGTAACTTTTAAATGCGTGCTAATAAAATAAAATCAAGGTCGTTTAGATTTCAATGCAAAAGTTTAAACAACAAATAATAGCATATTTAGCACATTAAATTACGAGTGACTTTGAATCACATGCATAAATAAGGATGATTAATATTTGTCCTTTTTAGAAATTAAAAAAATGACAACGTTTACAATTGCTGGTTCTGGTACTGGAAATCGAACTTTGTTTTTAATCTTTTCAGGCATTGTAACTTCTCAGTTGAAAGTGAGAAATTTAATGATGGATTTTATTTCCCCAGCAATTAGTTTTCTTATAGTTAATTTAACAACAGTTTTGTTTTACAAAACTTAAATGTTGATTTTAATTCACATTCAAGCACTATAAATTCAGAAATTATTGCATGATTAATATTTTTGAAACATTGTGTACCAAATTTACCAGTTAACCCTAATCTACATATCCGTTACTCCTGTAAAATAGGGATCTAATAGGGATTATCAAGTACTGACAATCACAAAATCTACATGTATCCGTAGGTGACCTATCGCGATGCAAAATATCTACTTCTCTAAAACATTCTCCGTTTTGTCTGAAGCTGTCTTAGCTTCACATTCTTCATTATTCCCTGCAGAATCTACATAGGAACTGATTACTTAATTGTGTGTACCTCGATAACAGTGAAAAAGTGTAACAAAAATACCGAACCCCAAGGTAAATTCGAAATGGAGAAAGCGCATAAAAACTGACAAAATTAGACTTTATCAACCAACGGAACGAGTGAAACAACAACTGTCAGATTCCTGATTCGTCAAAGGCATTTTCCGAAGAAATGGTTGGTTAAACCTGGTTTTATATCCAACTGAACCTCCCACTTGTATGACAGTTGTTTATAATTAAGTCATATTGACTAAATTGTGTGAGCAACAAAACAAGACATAATAGGTTAATGTGACAATAACTTGGATACAGCAGCCAAATGTGTGAAAACATACATCATAGATATAACACATAACTGGCTACAAAATTTAAACAAAAATACAGATAAAAACAAAGATGCCAACAAAAAGGTTGATGTTGTTGATAGGAAATCTGACAAAGACACTTACAAAGTTTTTGTAGTTGATAGTATATTGACAAAAACGCCGATAAAACAATTTAAGTTGAAAGTACATATACCGTATGGTATACACTTTCTCGATAAAGTACAAATTAAGTAAAATATAAGTAAAAGGGTAAACAAACTGAAAACAACACTGTAAAAACCTCTTGCGTCCGAATCGAGTAAGTGATAGAGGCATGATCATCGTACCATACCGTCTACTAAATGGTCAAAAGATCAATAGTCACCTATGACCTTGACTTTGATCATAATTTTGATTCACACACAAACCGTACCATGATTGATTGCTGCTTGCTTAACGACCATGCAGTGACAATTATTTCATGTTAATTCTATAAATAATACAGAACCCTAACTGAAACCAAATATGGTCTTTCCTCTTGTTAAAAATTATTTAATGATGATATTATAATGGATGAGGCCCCATGAGCCATGTCCATCTCTTGCCATTCTTAAATGTACAAACATTCTTAAAAAGCTGGGATCCCTAATCAATATACTTGTCTTGTTTCTCAAGTCAAGATTAATTGATTTTTTTGTTACTTGCTAAATGTCCAGTGGCAAACATTACATGAACATTCAGTACGATAACAAAGTAATACTTGACACATAAGGTAGGTTCTACATGTCAAACGGGATGGGTTTCGGTCAATGTTGACTGATACTTAAATTCTAATCAGGCTACCTTCTGAACTCTCAGAGTTGTTATTATGGTTCTTAATCTTCAGAGAGCGAGGCTCCCTACACGAGTCAACGGATTTAATTTTCCCATTCATAACGGACGCGACTGTGTATATAAATCCCCAGAAACTAAATCCAAGGATGACCAGATTTCTTTAAACCAGTCAACTCTTAGGGTGTTATGTCATGTCAACAATTGAATAATATACAGTAACAAATTACCAACTTTTTACGGGGATTTTTTTTTTCTTTTCAAAAAAGCTTTCTATCTGACTAAGCGACGATTTATTTCTCGATTTTCAACTTTGTTGAGGTACACATATAAGAGAATTAGAAGATCTTAGTTAAACATATATGACATATTCATGATGAGTTATATACGACCATACAGTGGCAATTATTTCATGCTAATTCAGGTCGAGAACCAATTAACAATTTATACATTAGAATATGTTATAAATAGAACAGATCCCTACCTAAAACCAAGTATGTTCTAACCTCTTGTTAAGATTTATTCAATGATAATGTTATAAAGGATGAGGCCCCAGGAGCCATTTCCACATCTTGCCAAATCAAAAATGTGCAAATATCTTGGAAAAATCGTGAATGTATTTATCTTGTTTCTCATGTCAAGATTAATGATTTTTTTGTTACTTGCTAAATGTCCAGTGGCAAACATTACATGAACATTCAGCAAGATTACAAATTAATACTTGATACATAAAAAATAAAATAACAAGAATACCGAACTCCAAGAAAAATTCAAAACGGAAAGTCCTCTATCAAATGACAAAAACAAAAGGTCAAACACATTAAACGGAAACAACTGTCATATTCCTGACTTGGTATATTCATTTTGATATTTAAAATGGTGGATCAAACCTGGTTTTATAGCTAGCTAAACCTCTCACTTGTATGACAGTCGCATTGTGTGAGCAAAAAAATTGGGGTACAGCAATCAACATTGTGTTATAATCTTAATTACTATAAAAACAAATAACCATTTCAACTAAGAAAAACAAAATGGCACAAAGTAGGTTTTGCATGATGAGACAACCGGGATGGATTTCGTGAAATGTTGACTGCTACTGGAAAATGGTATTATAGATAGGGGCATATATTTTGCCTTGTAATCAGGCCACCCACTAAACTCTCACAGTTGTTGATATGGTTCTTTAACAGCAGAGAGCGAGGTTCCTTACACGAGTCATTAGATTTAACTTCCCCGTTCATACCGGACGCGACTGTGTATATAAATCACAACAACTAAGTCCAAGGATGACCGTATTCTTTAAACCAGTCAACCCTCAGGGTGTTTTGTCATATCAAGAATTGAATGATATACTGTTAACCAACTTTTTTTCTCATAAGACCTTTCTAGCCGACTTCGCGACTATTTATTTCTACATTTTCAACTTTGTTCAGGTACTCATATAAGAGAATTCTAAGATCTTAGTTTTACATATATGGCATATTCGCCACTATTTATATTTGTGTTATGTTACTACTGGTATTGCTTTTTGTCTCTTCAAAAGTTCCTGCTGTGACAGGTAAGTATAGCTTTTTGTCTCTTCAAAAGTTCCTGCCGTGACAGGTAAGTATAGCTTTTTGTCTCTCAATTCATTAGTAAAGTATTGCTTTTTGTCTATCAATTCATTGTTACTGTTGTGAAAGTAAAGTATTGCTTTTTGTCTATCAATAAGTTACTGCTGTGTCGGGTCAGTATTGTGTTATTAAAGTAATGATTTTAGTTCCTCAAAACATTGTTACTGATGTGTGAGGTAACTATTGCTTTTTCTTTCTCAGTACATTGTTACCGCTGTGTGAGGTAACTATTAATTTTTGTTTCTCTATTCAGTGTTTCTGCTGTGTGAGGTAACTATTGATTTTTGTTTCTCAATACAGTGCTTCTGCTGTGTGAGGTAACTATTGATTTTTGTTTATCAATACAGTGCTTCTGCTGTGTGAGGTAACTATTGATTTTTGTTTATCAATACAGTGCTTCTGCTGTGTGAGGTAACTATTGATTTTTGTTTCTCAATACAGTGTTTCTGCTGTGTGAGGTAACTATTGCTTTTTGTTTCACAATCCATTGTTACGGCCTTGTTGGGTTACGATTCCTTTGCATCTCTCTTTATATTGTTACCGCTTTGTCAGGTCAGTATTGCTTTGTGTCTCTCAATATTTTTCTACTGCTGTGTCAGTTCAGTATTGCTTTGTGTCTATCTGTATATTGTTACTGCTGTGTTAGGTCAGTATTGTTTTGTTTCTCTCAATACATTGTCACCGCTGTGTCAGGTCAGTATTGCTTTGTGTCTCTCATTATATTATTCCTGCTGTGTCAGGTCAGTATTGCTTTGTCTCTCAATACATTGTTACCGCTCTGCCAGGTCAGTATTGCTTTGTGTCTCTCAATATTTTGTTACCGCTGTCATGTCAGTATTGTTTCTTGTCTCTCAATACAATGTAACTGATGGTTGTTATCGGTTTCAATATCTCTTCAGACATTGGTACTGCAGTGTTTAAAAATATTGCTTTTTGGTTATTAATACATTGTTTCTGTTGTGTGGGGTAACTGTTGATTTTTGTAATCGCTGTGTCAGGTCAGTATTGCTTGCGTCTCTCTTTATATTGTTACCGCTGTGTCAGGTAAGTATTGCCTTGTGTCTCTCAATACATTGTAACCGCTGTGTCAGGTAACTTGTATCAGGTCAGTATTGCTTTTTGTATCTCAATATATTTATACTACTGTGTCAGTTCAGAGTTGCTTTGCATCTCTGTTTATATTGTTACCGCTGTGTCATGTAAGTATTGCCTTGTGTATCTCAATATTTTTAAATGCTGTGTCAGGTCAGTATTGCGTCGTCTTTCCATATTATTATGTTACCGCTGTCTTAGATCATTATTGCTTTGTGTTTCTTAATATATTGTTTCTACTGTGTCAGGTAACTTGTGTCAGGTCAGTACTGATTTGTGTCTCTCTATATATTGTTACTACTGTGTCAGGTCAGTATTGCTTTTTGTCTCTCAATATATTGTTACCGCTGTGTAAGGGTCAGTATTGCTTTCTGTCTCTCAATATATTGTTACTACTGTGTGAGGTAACTTGTGTTAAGTCAGTATTGCTTTGTGTCTCTCAATATATTGGTAACGCTGTGTCAGATAAC